AACGCGCCAGAGGATTTTTTTTTTTTTTTTTTTTTTTAATAACTACACCTTATACGCGCGTAACAATCCCTCACCTTGACATTGGTTCCGTCGAACGTGAATTGTATGTCCGGGTAGTCGGGGATCCTTTCCAGGTCGGTTTTGACGAAGCAACCGGCGGACAGCACGCCCATGGCTGACAGCGCGTTCCTCTGGGTCTTCAAGTACTCCAGGGAGTCGTTTTTCATTTGGTCCAAGCTAGCCAGGATCCTCGTTTTCTCGCTCAACTTTATGGTCAGCCCGTCCATTCGCGGGTGATCGTGGAGATTCCTGCCGACCGGCAGGTCCTGGATCGCGTCGATTCCCAATTCCCGCAGATCTCATAAATTATAACATCTCAGAATAATTTAGTAAAATAAACATCGTAGTTAACATCGCAGTTGTTGGTCAGTAAGGTCACTGATGTAACCTGGTATGTATAACAATATGTAACTGTGACAAAACGTTTTTCGTCACCTTTTTTTTCATAAATATTAGTTAATACAGAAATGCAAATGTATTACGATAATTATTTCTTTGCTTACGTAACAGGTTTTAAATATTAATATTGAAACATATTTTAAACTTAGCGCTATTCTGCCAGTCTGCAGACTGCCAGACTCCATGTAATCTACTCACCCTCAGAGTGCTGCAGCCAAACGCATGCGCGCTAACTCAATACGAACGCTCGTGCACTCGGTGCACTCGTGCGCTCGTGCGTTTCGTCAGAGATTAGAAGTCTAGTCTCTGGTTTCGTTTCCCTCCCGCTTCAGTAGACACCCAGGCGAGAGCACTGGTGCGAACTTTACTTCACGTGGACATACTTCATTTGAAAAAGTAGTGTTTTTCTTTAAAATTCCTAACCTTATATCTACGTAATTACGTGGATTTGGTGCGAATAGACACAGCGTAAAATTTAAAAAAAAGAGGAAAAACGTATTTTAATTCTCAATACAATGAGGATTGAGGCTTGTTATTTTTGTTCATCCAGAATATATCCTGGACACGGTATACAGTTTGTCAGGAACGATTGCAAGGTAATGTACACTGTCAACTTGGTCGTTTATAGGTTATGTATCAAAGTGTATTTTGTCTAGTTTTTTTTTTTTATAAACCTTTTGAACGGCAATACTAAATTTTATATTCTTAAACTTTACCAAGAGATTCGGTTTACGTAAAAATTATATAGTAGCCTTTTTTTCGTTATTGTCACATAAAATGTAATACCTGCATGTACATTGACATCATGTGTAGATTTGCAACTTGTTTCTAATCACAAGATTATTTGCAGATATTCAAATTTTGTCGGTCAAAATGCCATGCAGCATTCAAAAAGAAGAAGAACCCAAGGAAAGTTAAATGGACAAAAGCTTACAGAAAAACAGTTGGCAAAGACTTGGCTGTTGATCCCACCTTTGAATTTGAAAAGAGGAGAAATGTTCCACTCAAATATAACAGAGAGTTATGGTCCAAAACTATTGAAGCTATGAAGAAGGTTGAGGGTATAAGGCAGAAGAGAGCAAACACACATATTATGCAAAGATTGATGAAAGGACGAGAGTTGGATAAGGAGAAGGACATGAAGGAAGTACACAGAGATCTATCTTTAATACAATCAGCTGCTGTTAATCTCAAGAAGAAAAAGAAACAAGAAGAAGAGGAGGAAGAAAAGATGGAACTCAACGAGGTTGCAATGGAAGCTGTCGAAGAGAATTCAGATTAATTTTAACAATGTTTAATGCTAATGCAAGCTCAACAAGACTCATTATGTAACATAATATGCACTCTTTTATACTAAAATTTTTTCATTAATTTAAAATAAATTATTATGTATGA